ATATCACTAGGCCCAGCATCTAGGTGATGTGACTCTCTTCTGCCTGGTCCCTGCTTACAGGGACATTGTAGCATATTGCTATGCCCAGCACTTTTCTCTTCTTTTAGGTTTTGCCTGCAGGAGACTTCGTGACATTGCTGGGCCCTGCACTGACATTATGTGACTCTTCTGTCTCTGTTTTGCCTACTTGGGCCACTGTGACATATTGCTGGGTCCAACATCCAGGTGATGTAACTTTTATGCCTGGGTCCTGGCATCTGAGGATGTTGTCTTTGCACCAATCACACAGGTGATGTGATTTTCTTCTGTTACCTGGTCTGGGCACACAGGAAAAATTGTGACCTTGGCCAGGCGCAGTGACTCACGCCTGTAATCACAGCACTTTGGGAGGCCGAGGTGAGTGGATACCTGAGGTCAGGAGTTCAAGACCAGCCTGGCCAACATGGTGAAACCCTGCCTTACTTAAAACACAAAAATTAGCTGGGCATGGCGGCAGGCACCTGTAGTTCTAGCTACACAGGAGGCTGAGGCAGGAGAATCGCTTGAACCGGGGAGGTGGAGATTGCAGTGAGCCGAGATGGCACCACTGCACTCCAGCCTGGGTGACAGAGCGAGACTCCATCTCAAAAAAAAAAGATTGTGACCTTTTGCAGCACATAGCTGATTTGACTGTGCTTTGTGGAGTACACCAAGCAGGTTGTCAAACTGATAGTCCCTTTACTGAAATTTTATTTCCACGATGGTGTTGGAGGGGCAGCAGCAGAATCTATGCCTTTTCTCCTGAAGTGTGCAAGAGTCTGTGGTCCTGAGTATCTCACACAGATGTGGCAATTTATGTGATGTTCTAATTAAGACCATTGGTACAGAAACAGATTCAGACGTCTTCTCGGAAATAATGCATTGTTTAGCAAAGTGCGTTGAAGTAATGGGAGACGGATGCCTTAGTAATGAACACTTTGAAGAACACCTTTGCCACACGTCCTCAGGACCTTCTGAGGGCTGTGTCATGGGGCATGGTCACTCATATTTGACTCTGAATAAATTTCTTCAAATATTTTAAAGAGTTTAACTCTTCATTGACACAGCTGATGTATGGAGCACGCTTGCTGTGCCAACCAGTGTTTCAAAGCTGTTTAGGTATTTTTGCTCATTAAATCTTCATCAGCAAAAACTGGAGGTAAGTTTAATGATTCCTCGTGTCACAGACAAGGTAACTGAAAGAAGAAAAAATTTAGGAACTTGCCCAAAGTCAGCCAGGTAGGAAGTGGCTGAGCTAATAGTTGATTAAACAACTATTCATTGATCACCTGCCATGGGCTGAGCACTGTGATTGGCACTGGGAATATAGTGGTAAACAAGACATAGCTCCCCGGAACAAAACTATAAGGAAGTAAACAACAAACACCAAGATTATATCAAAGATGTGAAATGCCAGAACGTGCTGCTGCTATAAAGAATTCCACAGGGTTATTGGGGGTAGATTGTAATTAAAAGGAGGTGGGTCAAGCAAAGCTTTCCAGAGAGGGCTAGAGCTGAGCCAGGTTTGGATGCTCTTATCAAGGTGAGTACTTAGAGTTTGTCTCAGTTTATTTGTTTGCAGCCCCTAAAATCTAGAATTTGTCTCAGTTTCTTCGTGTGCAGCCCCTAAAATCTTTGGAATGTCTGAAAAGAGAAGCGTCTTTTGTATGTTAATGAGATGACTTCTGGCTGGAGGCTTCTGGACAGCCTCAGGACCAGGATTGATTGCCAGAGAAACCAATTGTGTAATAGAGCATTAAAACTCAGCTGGCCCGGCATGGTGGCTCCTGCCTGTAATCCCAGCACTTTGGGAGGCGGATCACCTAAGGTCAAGAGTTCAAGACCAGCCCAGCCCAAACAGTGAAACCCCATCCCTACTAAAAATACACAAATTAGCTGGGTGTGGAGATGAGCGCATGTAATCCCAGCTACTTGGGAGGCTGAGGCAGGAGAATCCCGGGAGGCGGAGGCTGCAGTAAGGCGAGATCAAGCCACTGCACTCCAACCTGGGTGACAGAGCAAGACTCCATCTCAAAACAAAAAAAAACACTTCTTACCTCCTTGGATGGTAGAGAAGCAATCTGGGCTTTGTAAAAGTAAAAAGAGTACCTTATTTGATTCAACTAAGTAAATTGTTAAAGGGGCATATCAATGAAAAGCTCTTCCAACCCCAGCCTTACTAGTTAAGTACCAGTTAGGGGAAGTTTTTTTGGTATCCTGAAATTGCTTTCTGCCTTTCCATGCATATCATTAAGAAAGGGCACACTCTTAAACCAATCTGTAACCTCATACCATTCTCAAAAAAAAAAAAAAAATTAAGGTTAATTTTAAGTTTATACCAAAAGTGCACAATTTAGCAATTTAGCTGTTTTCGTCAAGTCAACATTTTACAAGCTTACGCAAGCCAAGATTATTCTGTCTTGTGCTGGGTTTTATCGTTTATAACCCTTAGGGCAAATCTTAGAGTATTCTTGCAGGAATAATCATAAAACCACTTTTTTTTTTTTTTTTTTTTTGAGATGGACTCTCACTCTGTCACCCAGGATAGAGTACAGTGGTGCAATCTCGGCTCACTGCAAACTCTGCTTCCTGGGTTAAAGCTGTTCTCCTCCCTCAGCTTCCTGAGTAGCTGGGATTACAGGCATGCACAACCATACCTGGCCAACTTTTGGTATTTTTAGTAGAGACAGGGTTTCACCATGTTGTCAAGGCTGGTTTCGAACTGCTGACCTCAAGTGATCCACCCGCCTTGGCCTCCCAAAGTGCTGAGATTATAGGCATGAGCCACTGCACCGGGCCAAAACCCCCTTGATTAAAAAATTGTTGCTGGGCCCGGTGGCTCACAACTGTAATCTCAGCACTTTGAGGGGCTGGGGCAGGTGGATCACAAGGTCAGGAGTTCAAGACCAGGCTGGCCAAGATGGTGAAACCCCGTCTCTACTAAAAATACAAATATTAGCCAGGCGTGGTGGCAGGTGCGTGTAATCCCAGCTACTCGGGAGGCTGAGGCAGCGGTTGCAATGAGCCCAGATCATGCCACTGCACTCCAGCCTGAGCGACAGAGTGAGACTCCATCTCAAAAAAAGTTAACAAAATGCTAACAATATTTAAGACATTGCTGATACTATTTTACCAATAATTTTAAAGTTGCCTTATTTGTTAAAGATTATACGTAAGTCACATAAACTTTTTTTTTTGTTTTGAGATTGCCCAGGCTGGAGTGCAGTGGTGCCATCTCGGCTCACTGCAAGCTCCGCCTCCTGGGTTCACGCCATTCTTCTGCCTCAGCCTCCCGAGTAGCTGGGACTACAGGCACCCGCCACCACGCCCGCCTAATTTTTTGTATTTTTAGTAGAGTGGGGGTTTCACCGTGTTAGCCAGGATGGTCTCGATCTCCTGACCTCGTGATCCACCCGCCTCGGCCTCCCAAAGTGCTGAGATTACAGGCATGAACCACCGTGCCCAGCCTCTAATTTTTTATTTCTGATTTAAAGTTGGATGTCTTGGCCCGGCGCCGTGGTTCACTTTGGGAGGCCGAGGTGGGCGGATCACGAGGTCAGGAGAAGGGGACCATCCTGGTTAACACGGTGAAGCACCGTCTCTACTAAAAATACAAAAAAATTAGCTGGATGTGGTGGCACGCGCCTGTAATCCCAGCTACTGGGGAGACAGAAGCAGGAGAATAGCTTGAACCCGGGAGGTGGAGGTCGCAGTGAGCCAAGATCGCATTGCGCTGCTGCACTCTGGCCTGGGCGACAGAGTGAGACTCTGTCTCAAAAATAAAAATAAAGTTGGATGTCTTGTAAGATAATGCTGAGTAATGCAGAAATACATATAGACATTTATGCATGTGATTTGTCCTTATACTCACACAGACCCCCCACATCACAAAACAGGTAACTACAGCCTGACCATTAGAGCCAAGATCAAATAGCAAAATAAGTTTGCCTTTAATCTGTTTTCTTCATATATAAACATAGGAGGTCAAGACTGTGGACAGGGCTGGGCTCATGCCTGTAATCCCAGCACTTTCGGAGGCCGAGATGGGTGGATCACGAGGTCAGGAGTTCAAGACTAGCCTGGCCAAGATGGTGAAACTCTTGTCTCTACTAAAAATACAAAAATTAGCTAGGCATGGTGGTGGGTGCCTATAATCTTAGCTACTCAGGAGACTGAGGCAAGGAATTGCTTGAACCCAGGAGGTGGAAGTTGCAGTGAGCCCAGATCGTGCCACTGCACTCCATCCTGGAGGAGTGCAGTGGCTCATGTCTGTAATTCCAGCACTTTGGGAGGCGGGGGTGGGCAGATCACCTGAGGTCGGGAGTTCGAGACCAGCTTGACCAACATGGAGAAACCCCATCTCTACTAAAAATACAAAAGATTAGCTGGGCGTGGTGGTGCATGCCTGTAATCCCAACTACTTAGGAGGCTGAGGTAGGAGAATCACTTGAACCCCGGGGGTGGAGGTTGTTGTGAGCCGAGATCGCGCCATTGCACTCCAGCCTGGGCAAAAAGAGCGAAACTCTGTCTCAAAAAAGACTGTGGACAGATATGAAGACATAGAGTTTTTTCTCCTGTCGCCTCATCAGTTTTTGTTCACTGTCTAATCTCTGGAAGGAAGGTGGGCAACAGGTGGCCAGCAGTGGTCTGTGTGTGGTTATCTTATTCTTGCTGCTTTCTGCTTTTTTTATGACCACTATCTGTTCCAACCTGGGAACTGAGGAGAGATGGTAGGAAGAGGCTTTTCCCCACCTCTGACGTGCAGGCCCTTCATTCAGCTGACATCTCAGCCGCACTTCAATATGGCAGCTATTGGCCACGTGTGGCTACTGGGTGCGTGGAATGTCGCTGGTCTAAACTGCGATGTGCTAGAAAGGTAAAATACAGAGTTAGTTTCAAAGATTTAGTTTATATTATATATATAATATATGAACTTTATATTATATATATAAACCTTATATATATTTCATTATTGAAATAATGACATTTATATATATTTCATTATTGCTCACAAACTGATAATATTTTGGATATATTGGGTAAATTAAATTGTTACATCAACTCCACCTTTTTCTTGTTTCTTTTTAAAGTTGGCTACTAGAAAGTTTAAAATTCACATGTGGCTTATATTTTATTTCAGAGGGGTTGCCTTTTTAAAAAAATCTCAGGCTGCTTGCTCAAATGCCAGAAGCCAGGAAGATCATCAAAACTGAAATTTTAAAATTATTGTTATATATTTTTCCTTTGTGAATAGCCATATAGTATATTATTTATAAATACATGAAACCTTATACACGAGGTTAAATGCAAATACCCTCCGGAGTGGGCCTGGCTCAGCTCAGGGAGGAAGGCCTGCCTGAAAAGGCTGCAGCTTAGGCTGTCACTCTTACTTCATTCAGTCCAGCCTTTGGTCACGTCTTCTGTCACTCAAGGCCTGAAGGGGGCCGGGCCTTAGACGTTTTCCAATCAGGGACGCTGAGCTGGGGACTGTCCAATCAGGCACGCAGCTAGAGCGGACAGGGCGGCTTCCGGGATTTGGCGGGGCCTTTGTCTCTCGCTGCAGCTGGAGCTCTTGGTCTCGTCTTCCCTGCTCTGAGTCTCCCTGCTCCTAGAGGCCCAGCCTCTGTGGCCCTGTGACCTGCAGTATTGGGAGATCCACAGCTAAGACGCCAGGGTCCCCCTGGAAGCCTAGAAATGGTGAGAGTGGCGGCTCCGACATCCGGAGAGAGAGGGAGGGGCTGGTTGGAACCGGTGGGAAGTGGCTGTGGCGGACTCGGGCTTCCCCTCAGTCGTCTCCGCAAACTGCGCCCCGAGTTCTCCTTGCCCAGTTCGGCCTCAGTCCCCTTCAGCCATAAGATGGCGGCAGGGCTGATGGCCGGGCCCCCGGGCGTCTTATCTGTTCCCTGTGCAGTGACTGTGCCCTGACCTGGAGCCCTCTGGGTAGCTCTGCACCCGCAGCGCCGCGTCTCTCCCGGATTGTGCAGGGACCACGGGAGGGTAGTCGGGAGAATCCTGACTCGGCGTGCGGGTTCGTGAATGGGAAGAGCTTTAGTCCGCTGCGTTTCCAGTTCATCTTTCCCCCTATTAAAAATTTATGGCAGGCAGGGCGCGTTGGTTCACGACTGTAATCCCAGCACTGCGAGAGTACGAGGCTGGCGGATCGCCAGAGGCCAGGAGTTCGAGACCAGCCTGGCCAACATGGCGAAACCGCGTCTATACTAAAAATACAAAAATTAGCCTGGCGCAGTGGCCGACACCTATAATCCTAGCACTTTGGGATACTGTGGCACGCGGATCACGAGGTCAGGAGTTCAAGATCAGCCTGACCAACATGGTAAAACCCCGTTTCTACTAGAAATACAAAAACTTAGCCTGGCGTGGTGGCGCGGTCCTGTATCGTCATCCCAGCTACTCGGAGCTGAAGCAGGAAAATCGCTTAACCGGGAGGCGGAGGTTGCAGTGAGCGAGTGCGCGCATTTGCCCTCGCCTGGGTGAAGAGCAAGTACTCACCATCTCAAAAAAAAAAAAAAAAAGCGAGGCATCAAGTCGTACGCATAGCCTATAATCCCA